ATTACTAGTAATATTATACTATTAGTAATATTATTATTAGTAATAGAGATAACATGTAATATATTATATTATATTATTATATATTATAGTATTCTATTATTATAGTATATATATAATATACTATATAATATTAGTAATATATAGTATATTATAAATAATATATAATATATAATATTATTAATAGTAATAAAAAAAAGAATATTAATCATTAGATGAAATTAATCTTGTCAAATTTGCAGATAAATATATCTGCAACGGATTTAACAATTTATAGTTTATAATACGAGCACTTGCATATCCCTTGCAACGATATCTCATGATTCATGCACACTGCACCATCCAGTAATATATATTTATATATATATATATATATATGTATGTGTGTGTGTACGCATACTGGAGAATTTTTTTTACGAATCTTTACATTTTGCTCATAACGCGTTTACTTTATCTCAATTAGTCGTGTATATTATGTTGAAATTATGTAACATGATAAAATATTATCCAAGAAAATATTAATCCTGAAAATGTGTAAAAATAAAAATATACGAAGATACATACAGGTCTTGTTTTACTTTTTTTCTTTGTGGTTGTTGCATCGTGTGCATGCATCATACTTATCAGGTATCATAAGAGATCCTGAAGGAAATAAATAATCGATCAATAATATAATTCTTCATATTTCCTGGAAATTGCGTATCGAACATGATACAACTTTTCCAATCGATATTTATATATATTGAGTTGTTCAGAAAGTAATATCATTTTTCTTTTTATAAAAATGAAGATCAATTTTCGCTTACGAGGCCTTTCAAGTTTGCATAAACAATTGCATTTGATCAATTTAAACCCCTCACCAATCTCACGTGTTCTCATTTGCAATGAATGGCATTTATTGTGTTAGAAAAAAAACCAAATTACTTTCCAAACAATTCAATATATATATATATATATTAAATCTATAGTAATAATAATAATAATTTTATCTACGCCTTGTTTTTGCAGAAATTATCTAATAAACTATTGATCTAAAAAAAAAAGAAAAAAAAACAAACAAATAAAAAACAATCAAACTATACGGAAAACGAATATTTTCTATATAATAAAGATATAGGTATATAGAAGCGTGTTTCTATTCTAGTGGTTTCATAGGAGAGAAAGAGAGAGAGAAAGAGAGATAGAAATAGATAGAAATAGAAGATAGATAGATAGATAGATAGAAAAAAAAGATAGGTTTATGAGAAATAGTATTAGGATATAGGATTTTTTTTTTGGGGGGCGGGGGGTTTCCATTTTCGAGCAAACAGTAAAATATCATTTGAAACATAGAGTGTGAACGTTATACGTGTTAATAAAAAATTTCAAGCTCTCGCGAATACGTCCTACTCGGGTTCATAATCGAAAAGAGAAAGAGAGAAAGAGAGAAAGAGAGAAAGAGAGAGAGAGAGAGAGAGAGAGATAAAACAGGAGATAGAAAAGCAAAATTTGAAATAGTATTTTTCGGTTTTATATACACATACTAACATCAACACATATACGCGCATATTTACTGACCGGAATGTCCAAATGACGACAGGACGGATGAATTAATGGGTGTACGCGAATTGACACATACACAACACACACGTACATCGGATTAAAAAAAACGTAAACGTTATTGTTCGCGAGGGGAAAAGAAGAAAAAAAAAAAAATCAGAAAAAAAAGTCAACCGAAAATTTCGACCAAAATCGACGGAGATTGTCGGCGGTTTTCGATTATTGCGAATATCGAATCGTACGTAGTGTTATATATATATATATATATAGTATATGTACTTCGTGACAGAAAATAGAAAAAAAAAAAAGAAAAAATAATTAAAAAGATATGCGAAAATGAATCGAACCGATAAATCGATCTCGTTTAAGATTTTTTGTTTTGTTTTGTTTATCGTCGTACTTTTTCCTGTAACCAATAATAAAAAAAAAAAAAAAAAGAAAAAAAACGTTCAACAACAAATCTTTCTATTTTGGATTATCAATCGGAAAAGCTTAAAAGTCGGATTGACTTTAATTTTGATCATCGAATACGTTCGAATTGTTCGTAGATGTATATATAGATATATATACAAGTGTATATATATATATAAAGCAATTTATTGAARGTGTACGTATATTTGTGGGAAATCGGTGAAATATTAGCAGCACGCTCCTCCAACAAACCGTTTTTCTATGATACCGCAGTGAAAGGTAATTCAATCTATTGTAATATCGACTAATATGGGATACGTGTTTCGTTAAAAGATTAGAGAAGACAGACAGACTAGATTAATATTTATCTATCGATTCTAAAACTATTATAAATCTGTGATATATATATATATAGCT